TAGTGTTAAGGAAATTTTATAAATGATAACATTTAAATATTTAATTATATTTTAATATTAAAAATTTGAACTAAATATATTGTGATGCAATTGAATCTGCTGATGAATCTTGAAGATTGTAAGCCATAATGTAATGAAATCATCAAATCATAGATGAACAAAAAAAAATCAATACAAATGAAAAAGGTTTCATGAACGTGAAACCGGTTCATGTCGCAAATAAAAAACTAGTGAAACATTTTCATGGTGAACCCGTTGCATTGATGGTGTAGTTGATCCATTTAGTATGTGAAGTGGAAAATGAAACGGGTGCATAATGAATTTGGTTCGCCATGAAATAAGCATGATGAAACGGGTACATGATGAATCTGCTACAAAATCTTGAAGATTGTAATCTGCTCCAGAATCTTGAAGATTGTAAGGCTTAAATGAATGAATTCATCAAATCAGGGGTGAAATAAGAAAATTAATGTACATGAAATAGGTTTCATGAATATAAAACTGGTTCTTGGCGTTATTGAACATGAGTAGTGAAACAAGTGCATAATGTATTTGGTTCGTCATGAAATAATTGCATGATGAAACAGGTACATGAAGAAACTGCTCCAGAATCTTGAAGATATACAATATGATCCAGAATCTCTAAGATTGCAAGGCTTAAAGAAATGAATTCATTAAATCAGGAGCGAAATAAAGAAAATTAATTACATGAAACAAGTTTCATGAAAGTGAAACTGGTTCATGGGGTAATTGAACAATGAGTAGTGAATTGGTTTGATGGTGAATCACATTTCAGTGACGTTGAAATGCAAAATAAAATGAGTGAATAATGTATGCGGTTCGTCATGAAATAACTACATGCTGAAACGGATTCATTATGAAACCGGTGCGTCTTAAAACCATTTCATAATGAATAGGGTGCATATTTACATGGTTGTGTGAAGGACATTGAAACAATTTCAGGATAAGGAATAAAAAGGCTGTAACATTAGCGAAAAATGAATAAAGTTCATTATCAATATCATGAAATAACAAATGACGCATCAAACCATGAGTAAAATTTCATGTTTTGTCATAAAATTCTATGAACGCAGTAAACAGTTAAGACAATAAAACTATTTCATATTGTTTTATAAAATTTTATGAACTCAGTAAACAATAAAAAATTTTCATTATCTAAATGTAACAGATCCATCTACCAGTATAATGAAAATTACAAAATATGATCATTATTACGTTGATTAGATTGTTGATGAAATTTTGAAACCAATTTCGTTCATATAATGTAATTCAAATTTTGAAACGATTCATTATATAGAACTGAATATGATGAGTTTTATTTATTTTTTGATATATTTTATTGATGGATGTTATTTAAACGTAAAAATAATATATTGCTTTACAAAATAAAATAGTTTCATTAATAATATGATATGAAGGATATTGTTGCCTTGAATAAAAAATATTATGAATTCATTGTATTTTAATACATGGATGTTATATAAATATGTATTTTTGTTTACCACTTTGCCCTTATTGCTGATAAAAAATAAATTTTTAATATATATATATTTTTAATTTCCTAAAATAAAGTAAACTAATCTTGACCATTGATCAAGAAAATGGATGGATGAGATTGGTTTACACAAATGGAGGCGGTTTTCATTTGAACACTCCTCTATATATATAGGATTAGATTCTGTTGAGAATAAGAGTTAAAGTAGGAAGCACAAGAAGATATCTCCACTTTTGAACGCATATTAGGATGAGATGCATCAGACCAATCCCCGTATCAAATACGATTAATGAATGAGTTTGAGATTAAAGGTGATCAATGGTCGAAATCCCTTTTTATAATTCTCATTTTCATATGCCTATACGTGTATATATATATATATATATATATATATATATATATATATATATATATATATATAT